ATAATAATCAAAATGATTGGTTAGTATTGGTTAAGAAATAGAGAGGAATCAGCTAGATGGCACAGTGGATAGAGTGCCGGGCCTGGAGTCAGGAACACCTGAGTTTAAATCCAGCCTAGACACTTACTATCTGTGTGACCTTGGAAAATCACTTAACCCTGTTTGCCTCAGTTCCCTTATTTCTAAAACAAGAAAGAAATGGCAAACCACCCTAGCATCTTTGCCAAGAAAACCCCAAATGGGCCACAAAGAGTCACACATGACAGAATGACAAAAAAAATAAAAAGGGTTGATCAATGGAACAAATTAGGTACACGGAAGGAAGTAAATATAGTAGCTTACTGTTTGATAAACCCAAAGACCCCAGCTGCTAACACAAGAACTCATCAAAAACTACTGGGAAAACTGGAAAACAATCTGGCAAAAACTAGGTGTAAACAAACATCTCATACTGTATACCAAGACAAAGTCCAAATAGATACATGGCTTAGACCTAAAGAATGATGTCATGAACAAACTAGAGGAGAAATGAAGAAGTTACATTTCTGATCTATGGGCAGTATAACAGTATATGACAAAACAAGAGGAGAGGATGGAAAACTTTGATTATATGAAATGTAAAAGGTTTTGCACAAACAAAACCAAAAGCAGTTAAAATCAAATGAGAAGGAGGTAAACTGGGGGGGGGGAATCTTTGAAGCAAGTTTCTCTAAGTTCTTACTTCTAATAGAATGTGTGTGTGTGTGTGTGTGTGTAAAACAGATTCAAATTTATAAGAATAAGAGCCATTCCTCCAGTTAATAACTGATCAAAAGATATGAATAAGCTGTTCTTAAAGGAAGAAATCTAAGCTACCAGTCAGTTAATAAGCATTTATAAAGTTCTTAATGTGCTAAGCACTGGGAATTTAAAAAAAAAAAAAGGCAAAACACAGTTCAGCTCTCAAGGAACTCAGAGACAATGTGAGAAAAGGAGACAACATGCAAACAATTATGTACAAAAAGATGTAGATAAGATTAACTGGAGATAATCAAGGGAAGGAAGACATTAACATTAAGGGGGATTAGGAAAGGCTTCTCATAAATATGGGATTTTAGCTGTGATTCAAAGGAAAACAGGGAAGCTGGGAGGCAGAAATAGGGAGAATTCTAGCATTTGGAAAGGGTGTGAAAATGTCCTGAAAGGGGAGATGGAGTATCTTGTGGCAGGAACAGCAAAGAGGCCTATGTCACTGACTCACAAAGTACCTAAAGAGGAGTAAGGTATATGAAGACTAGAGAGGTGGGAGGAGACCAGGTTGTGAAGGGCTTTGAATGACAGAAGATTTTATAGTTGATCCTAGAGATAAGGGAGGGAGATGACATGGTTGGCTCTCAGCTTTAGGAAAATCACTTTGACAGCTGTGTAGAGGATGGACTGAAGTAGGGAGATAGTTGAGGCAGGAAGACCAATCAGTAGGTTATTGCAATAGTCCAGGTGTGGGTTAAGGAGGGCCTGCACCAGAATGTTGACAGTAGCAGAGGAGAGAAGAGGGCATATAAGGGAAAAAATGCTCTAAATCATTAACAGTTAGAGGGATGCAAATCAAAGCAACTCTGAGGTTCTACCTCCCACTTGGCATAACTGACAAGACACAATTGATAAATGTTGGAGGGGCTATGGAAGACTAGGTACCCTAATGTCTTATTGGTGGGGCTGATTCACAGACATTCATTGGCCCAGTCTATATATTTGGTCCAAATTTAATAAATGTTCTATTTCAGTATAATTGGTTTTATTTGTAATCTTTTGTATTTTAAGTATTTCAAAACATTATTTTGAGAAAGTCTTCACCTTAGGCTTCACCCAACTGCCAAAGGGGCACAAAAAAAAGGTTAAGAACCTCTGTCCTAGGAAGGAAACAAACATTTATTAAACACCCATTATGTGCCAGGAGTTTTACAAATAGTATCTCATTTGATCCTTACCACCACTTTGGGAGGTAGGTGCTATTATCCCCTTTTACAGTTGAGGAAACAAAAGTCAAGTGACCTGCCCAAGGTCAAACAGCTAGTAAGTTTCTGAGGCTGTATTTGAACTCAGATCTTCCTGACTCCTGGTTCAGCATTTTATCCACTGCAGGACCTAGCTGCCTAGATTAAATCAGCACCATATAGTAGTATAGAAAATGTACTTCCTCTACAAAATCCTCTTCTGATTCATCTTGGTGATATGAAAGGAATGCTGAGTTCCAGAATATTATGCCAGCAAAAAACAACTCTGGCAAGATGGAAAGGCTAACACTTATGAGGGCAGCAACAGATTGGAGATCTGTTATCCAAGGACCAGACTATCCCAGTTCAGAGAGGCTCATCGCTAGAGAGGTGGCTCATAGTTGGTAATATTTCAGGGTCCAGAGCAGCTCATGAAAATTTCCAGAAAGTGATGGAAAAGTTGTGAGCATCATTGGTGGAGGCAAATAAAACCATAGAACTTTGAAGTATTAAAGTACTAGTATTTAGCTTGTAGGAATGAGCAATTTTTTTTGGTCACATTTGAGAAAAAAGTATGAATTCTCAAGTTTTCAATTGTATTTCAAATCATTTTAATAAATAAAAAAATTTCCCCCATTTACCAAAAATGCATTTTCTGGCCACTCCCCAGGTGTCTACTGGGGGGAAAAAAAAAGAGGAAGAAGGGAATGAAGATAAAAAGGAAAAAGTACTTAACAGAAGACAACTAAACAAAAAAAAAGTAGTTTAGAAGTAGTAGTCTAACCTATTCAATCATAAAATCAAAGATTCAGAACTGGAAGGCATCTTGAAGGCCATTTAATCTAACTCTCTCATCTGACAGATGAAGAAGCTGAGACTGGGTGATTTGCCCAGGGTCATACAGATAGTGCCTGGAGCAGGATTTGAATTCAGGTTTTCCTTATTCCAAGTCAATCATTTTAGTCAGTTTGATATAGCACTGAATTGAGTATCAGAAACATGGGTTGGAATCCTGTTTTCATTTCTACTAGTTTAGTGACCTTGGGCAAATCTCTCGATTTCAGTATTTCTGGGCATCAGCTCCCTTATTTGTAAAGCTGATTTTTAAGGTGTCCTCCAGTTCTAAAATCGTTTAATGCTTTGCAAGATTAGATAGCCTCCAGAAATATGTTCTTTGTTCTCTCATTTAAAAGAAAAGGAATCATGACATTTCCCTGTTACAAAGAGGCATATTTAAGAAGGGGGAGGGGGTAAAGGAAATTTTTTCTTAGCAAGCATCTATGTTTTTGTATGGCAGCTACTGCTTTATGGGCTTTGAGTAAATGAAAATCAGGGAGCAGGAGAAGGATAACTACTTTGCAATTAACTATTTAGCCAGGAGATGATACTGAATATAACATGGGTACTGCATATGCAAATCTTTTTTTTTTTTGCAGACTTTTCAAGATATGTCCATTTATCAAATACTTGGAGAAGAAAGAGGATTGGATTTGGGACTATACTATTATCTGGGTTCAAGTCCTTTCTTTGCTTATTGGTTTGACCTTGGGCAACTTCTCTACACTTCTGTGTTATCTAAAAGAAGGATGGGCTAGATATAGTTAAGATCTCTTCCTACTAGACAAACTAAATGAAAAATCCTTCTTAGAACAGCTGCTTTTTCATTCTTTGAGATGGAAAATGAATTCCATCTTTTAAGCTTCAAAGAGTTGTGTATTATTTTTTTAAATCCTTAAGAAAGGCCTTCCAAGTGCATCAGCATTACCCGTAATAGGAAAACTCAGTAACTCTGATATTAACTTCCCATCTCTGTGCAATATGGGTTGTGAAAATTCCTGGAAGAAATCAGTCTGGGGTGCTGAGGAAAAGGCGGCCCTTGGGAAAGTTTACTTTTTTAATGACAAGAAGAGAATTTGAATATCCATCTTTCTCTTTGCCAGCTGGAACCCGGGTGCAATTCTGCTGAAAAGCCTGCTATCCTTAAATGCAATCGCTTTCTACTCTTAAACCCAGAACCTGAGCATGCCCAGACACATTATTGGAAGTATTGAATATTTGACTTTCGGATCCAGGTTTTAGCTACCTCAAGGGGACCTTAGGCAAAGACATTGTGGAATTGGTTGTAAAAGATAGGGACCAACACCGTCCTCCCTCCCCCCGCCCCCAGCCAAAGGGAACGAGGTGAGAAAGCATCTAGGGGGTGTGGTCAACCAGGCAAGTGGAGAGAAGCTTCAGAAATTATTCCTTACCTTTATCTGATCGAGCTTTCCTCAAATTGCAAAGGAAAAGGTGCCCAACTCAAGCCCGGTCAGCTTTTAATTGCTTGACCATTCATTGATCCATAATAACTGTGACTTCTTTGCAGGAGAGATTTGTTTTAAAGAAGATGCAACTATTCCCAAGGGAAACTTTAAGAATAGTTTCACATATGCTTATGTGTGATGGATGGAGGCGGTATTGGCACCCAGAGCTATAGCTGACCACCACGAGGTTGGGTTCTATTTGGAGGTAGGAAACACCCAAGACAGTTCTAATCACTGGGTTGTTCATTCTGAGAGTAGAGCACAGGACTAGCTTTTAATCACCAACAATGTGTTTATTTTGCAGGGACAAGAGTGACAAGTCCAAATTCCTCCTACGGTGGCCTTAGGCTGGCCTTTGCAAATTACTGCCCGCCCTCCACACCCCTGATTCTCATTTGTGTCACTAAATTGTAAACTGTCTGAATGCCTAGGTTTGTGGGTGGTTGACATGCTTCTCCCAAGCCAAAGATAAAGTAAGTTCAGGCAGTAAAGAGCTGCTTTCTTCCAGGCCACTGCCACTGTCCTCCTCTTTGGTCCCAGCTCATTCCGGGCTCAGTATGGTCCTCGTGGAGCCACCCCCAGCTCCCCACGCCCACCCACCCACCCACGCGGGGCCGGCCCCTCTGCCAGCTCCAGTCTGTCTCTTGGCTGCAACTAAAACGCGGAGAAGTGGATTTGGCAGAGAGAAAACCCCTCCGTGGCTCCAAACGCCGGAACTGGGCATGCTCAGTCGGGAGACTAGGTTTGGGTCTCATGTAGGAAGCTTTGGCTCTACCCACCCTTTCCTCCCCTCCACTCCCCACCCCGGCCCCCCTTTCCCCAGCCCAGCCTGTAGTAGTTACACACTGTGCACCCAGGGAGACTGGGAACATGGCGCTTGGAGCGATGTAACAGCGGAGAAAGAAAGGAGATGCAGCCGCCGCTTTTCTGACAGCCAGCTACCAGGTAGGGGCATCTTGCGGAGCGGCTATGGAGAATGGGGCGGGAGGCGTTGCTTTGGGAGATGTGCCCAGATGGGACCAGGAGCATCCTTCTCTGCCAGAGTCCCGGCCACTGGAGGATGCGAGTCCGGTGTAAAAGCTAGCTCTCTGACAGTGCAATTGTGCATCTCCTAGGAGATGCCTGGCTCTAAACTGCTCGGAAGAAGCAGGCTGAGACAGGTACCTCTCTCAGATTCGCTGTCATCTGCATCTTTCGTCCAAGGTTCAGTTGATCGAATGAGAGGCGGATTTCTGACCCCTGGGTGAGAAACAGGCATGGAAAAGCCCGGATAACTCACTGAGCTAGAGCGGTGGTACCCTGTACAGCTTCTGAGCCCCAAAACGCTGCCAGCTCTTTGTGTATACAGGAGCATATGTCCGGTAGACGCAGGCTTTGATAGATGCTTCTCCGGAATAGTACTGGATACGTTGCCAGAAAAGGAATCCGATGTGGGTTTTGCCTCTTCACAGGTGTGGACTGAAAGAAATAAGTGATGTGGTAGGAGTGTTAGGCTTTCCTTTGTTGTGGGGTTGCCTGTGAGTATGTATGTTTTTAATTGCGAAGAGCACCCGGAAACTTGTCATTTTAGGCACGTGTGTGGAGCATAATCCAGGGGATGCTTTTTCCTCTGAACTCTGCCAAAAATTATGTAGAGCCTTAGATTCCTGCTAGGTAAAACTTAAATCCTTCGGGGATGTGGGGAAGAGTATTAGTGCTTCTTTTAGGCAGTCGGTGCAATTTTTAAAGACTATGCATAGCTATGGCGCTAGACATGGGACAGCAATTAAATCAGCAACATAAAATTTCAGTGAAGTCAATTTAACTAAATGTGTGTATCAAAAAAAAAATTTTTTAAATGGATGAATGCCCAAACAGAAATGGTTACTTTTCAATAGGAAAGTCTGTGGGTGAAAGAGACCTAGGAGACCTAGGTTCTTAGCCCAGTTCTGACACTAACTAGCTGCATGACCTTGGGGAAGTCACTTAACCACCTAAGGCCTGGATTTCCTCATTCACAAAATGAAGAGTTTATACCAGATGATCTCTAAGATTTCTTGTAGCTCAAAAATCCTAGGAATCTACAATTCCAAGATCCATATAGTCCAATAACAGTTATGCCAACTTACATTTGGCTAGAACTTAATAACTTTTTAAAGCACATTCACTAGAGATCTAGTCTTTCAATCTCATTTGATCCTCACAACAGTCCTATGAGATAGACTGGGCAGGTAAATATAGACTTTTATTACTTAAAAAGATTAAAGAATTGGCAGATTTTAATATTGAGTAATAAATATTTGGCCCTCAATGTGATTCTAAAATGAATATTATTAAGTGTGAAGTAAATAGGAACATATTTTTTACCAAATAAAATATTAACGTTTTGGGAAAATATGATTAGCTAAATTAAGCATTGTGAATGTGTGTATTTAATGTAATAATAGTGTGAGAAAGAGTACAGAAGATAAGTCTGATAATTCTGCTGAAATAAGAGGTAGTATCAATTTCATTGATAATATTAATAGTATAACAAAATGTTTTGTTGCTTAATGAGAAAGGGCAAGAAATGTTTGTGTTTACCACTTCTCCTTGTGTGAGTTTTTGTTACTTAGATTGGCAGAATTCTAGAGTTGTAAGAGACATTAGGGATCATCTAGCCCAAGCCTCTCACATTAACATAATGGCCATGACTTTTAGTACAAAGTGAATATGAAAGTCTTTGAAGTTCCTTTTCTTGGTATATTCCACATGGTGAAAAATCATGGTTCTGCCACAGCTGGATTGATGCTATTCCAAGAAAAGAGTTTAATAACAACTTTAACACTGGCTGACCCCTATAGAAGAACAGAAAGTCTGATGACTAGGATCATCAAGAAGAAATGGTGAAACATATTTTCCTTCATATCTTATGCAGTCTTCTAGATGACTAATTCAAAATACATTTAAATTATAGCAATAATGTACTTATCCAGAAGTCTCTTTTCCAACAGCCTTAACTAGCTTCTGCTAGATAAGACTAGCACAATCTAGATAAAAGCTTGTAAGTGAACTAAGAAGGTCTAATTGGCCAAAAGAGGTTTTACAAAATCTATGCAGAAAAGCTGTTGACTACTTATAAGAGAGCTGATCAAGTCTTTTTATGCCTGTTTTTGAAGTAGTTCTGAAAAGTTTAGTTATCTGTTTTTCAAAAAAGTTGATGCTAATTTCTGCATAGACAGGGAATAACAACATGCAAAGCAGACCTGAGAATTTGAAAAGCATAATGACATGGGCCATTTGAGGTAGGGATAAACAGGTAGTGGACCTCCATATCTCCTTATTCATGTTTATAATGACGGACTTGAATCACCAAGAAGAACTTAAATTGTGTTCAGTGTATTTAAGGCCAAACCTTTCAAAATCATGAAAGCGAAGTTCTTAAAAACATAGCATAGCTCACAGGTATCTTCCCCCAAAATAGATTTTCTTTATTCATTCTGTTTTGCAAATCAGATACAACTTAAAATATTTGCAGTAAGATATAGGAAAAGGACCAGTGTTAGCAAAGGCACTGAAACAAGAAAGTGGGGAGTGTTACACCATTGACAAGTTGTTCAGTTAGGCTACAGTGAAAAGTATATGGAAGGGAGTGATATGAGTTAAGGCTGAAAAGTCAGAGTACCGGACTGTAGAGCATAATGAAGGCGGGAGTCTGGCCTTTAATTGGTAGTCAATAGGGGCACCAGTGATTAGGTTTGAATAGAGATTTAACATGAACAGATTTGTAAATAAATAAGACATTAGCCTGGCAGCAGCATGAATGATGGTTTGGAAGGAAGGGAGAGAGTAGAGGTGTGAAGACCTGTTTGTTGAGTCATTTCAGTCATATTTGACTCTTCATGCCCTATTTGGGGTTTTCTTGGCAAAAAATACTGGAGTGGTTTGACATTTCCTTCTGCAGCTCGTTTTACAAATAAGGAAATGGAAGCAGACAGGGTTAAGTGACTTTCCCAGGGTCACATAGCTAGTAAGTGTCTGAGATCAGATTTGAACTCGTGTCTTGCTGACTCCAGGCCTGGAACTCTATCCATTGTGCCACCTAGCTTCCCAAAAGAAGACCTGTTAGGAAAATGTAATAAAAGTCCAGGTACTATGGGGCTTATACTAGGGTAATGGCAGTGGGAATAGAAAGGAAAGAACTTTTGGATGCCATTGATGTTAAAGAGATAACTAATGGGAGAGAGAAGAGAGTTAATAATGACACCAAAATTTCATACTCAGGAGTCAGTAGTGTGATGGATAGAAATATTGATCAAGAGGAAGAATGGTGGAATCATCTCTGATCCAGTAAAATTTGTAATGTGGAAAATAGTTACCAACTCTTCTCTGACTTCACTGAAGTATTGATAATAGAAAATAGACTTTAAGTTAGATTTAGGGTAGGATTTCCTGATGAAAAAAGTGTTTAGAGCTAGCATGCACCGGAAGTCCATACAGCTGCTAAAGTGACTTTCTTAGGGAACAAATTTGTGTCATTTCCCTATCAGCAAACTCAGGAGGCTCTCTGTTACCTCTAGATTTGAATATATACTCCTGTCTTTGGCACTTAAAAGTCCTTCAGTACCAGACCCCAACCTGCTTTTCTAGACTCATCATGTATTACTACCTGTCTTGAACAGTACAGTCTAGCCAAATTTTCCTCAAGCACAGTACTCAATCTCTTATCTCCATGTCTTTGCATTTGCTGACCCCCATGCCTAGAATGCCCCCCTCTTGGCCTCTATCTTCTAGACACCCTAGTTTCCTTTGAGACTCAGTTTAACTTCTATCTTCTACAAATAAAAATCAGTCCTTCTCTGATTACCACCCCCACCCCACCCCTCTACCCCCAGTACTAGTGGCTTCCCTCACAAAATTATTTTATATCACTTTTGAATGTGCCTATATACAAATGAGAACATTCTTAAGGTACTACTTTTTTTCATTTTTTTTTATTTTGTAACTCCAGCACCTAGCATAGTATCAGCAGCTAATAAGTTCTTAATAAATGCTTATCAGTTGATTGATCAGTCTTAGAAAATTGGATTATCTGAATATGATTTAGAAATCAAGTGACCCATACTGGACAAATAAATGTTTAGATGAAGTCTATCTCTTGGCCAGATGATAATATTTGGCCCCTAATAGCCATATGTTTCTGTGATTCTTTTCAATGGTTCACTGAGGCATATGCTGTAGTGAATAGAGCACTTAAGTTGGAGTATGGAAAACCTGGGTTCAAATTCTGCCTCTGATGTTGAGTAGCTCTGTGACCCTGGCCAAGCAGTTTGACTTGAATTTTAGCTCCCTCATCTGTGAAATAAGTATGTGGTGTTCTAAGTATAAATAATAAAGTACTTTGCAGCCCTTAAGTGCTACATAAAAGTCAATTATCATTGTTGATAAACTTTTATTTACAGTGCTTTTACAAGTAAAGAAAGGAGTCGTTTTCAGACTGAGATTAAAAAAAAATGCCAGATATTTTATTTTAATAATGCTTAATATACTTTTTGGGGGCTACTAAATTGCATCAATTCTGAAAAGATGACTATTTTAGTACCCTACATTCTTTTATATGTTATAGAATCTCCTGGTAGTATAAGATCCATATGAATATGACATACAGGTTATGACATTTCTAGGGAAGTGTTAGATATTCTGTTAGGATTCAGTGGTTTTGGAAGACTTGAAACCACTGAATGAATCAGCCACTTTGACTATGCAATATAATATTCCCTACGTTTGGACAAATTGTTGGTTTTTTAAAAAAGAGATGCAGTCATCCCATTGACTGCCTGTGTGCAATGTGATGATCAGAGGAGCAAATAGTTGATAATTTAGTGCTAATGCAACAAGCATGTTAACTAGTTTTTAAAACAAATGTCAGTCATAACATTTCTTCTATAATGATGCAGTATAAGGATAATTTGTATAATTAGTCATAG